AATGTAAAAAAAAGTCATAATAAGCTAAACCGTAGTTCAGAAGTTACAAATGGCTGAGGTGCTGAGCAAGCAGTCAGCAGTTTGTTAGTGTGCAGTATTGTATCATTTTTTTGCATAGTGCCAAAGTGTAAGAGTGAGCCAACATGAACAATAACCAACTCTAAACTGAACAGCTAAAGGAAATTAGGTGGCCATTGCTCATTTTTATTATTTACACTTGTGGTTGTCCTACTGTGACATGTTTTTCACAAAGAAATTATCTTAAAAAAATAAAATAAAACCAAAGATTTGAGAGGAAAGTGAATAATTTCATTATTTTTACTTCATTAAAGCAATGTTATTTGTGGGAAATATGGTTTTAACTAAACATAGTATTGGATACCAATTTTGTTGATTGTTGAAATCATTGGGAATTATATAATCTAATGTTCCATAAAGACTTAATTTCAAATTGCCGAAATGATGTCTGTTAACATATTCAACAAGTTTGACATAAGGATTAAAAATATATAAAATATTTAATGTAGTTATTGTCCCGAGTCAAAGCAGGTTTCAATTCAGTGTTTTGAAGAGATTTTTTTTTTTTTTAAATCTGAGATTTCAGTGGTCAGAAATGTTTTGCATGTGTGTACCGCGAACTGATTGAACAGATGTGTCTCTATTGATCTATTCAACCCATTTGTTGTTTTGGCTGTAGTTAGCCAACATCCATGGAAACTTCACCTTTATTTAAAACATACCTGATACGCCATTTGAGATATTTCCACTGACGCCCATGATGACGCTGAAGTGGTGTAAAAGTTTTGTCGTGTTAAATCAGATATACAACTGGGATCAAAGTCACCTTGGAGATATGATCATTTTATGAGTGGTGATTAGATGATCTTACCAAACTATAACAACAATTTTAAAAATGAATACATATATATTCTTAAGGTGACGGTTTAAAACACACTTTGATGTTCCAACTTTCGTGTTACGGTCTTGTCAACCTCTTTTTGAAAACTTTTTAACTGTTAGACCATATTATCACATCTTATAACATCTTTGTGTCAACAGTCACGTTATCCTTTGTCCCACCCTGTTTTATTGGCCACCTAGTTTCCGATAATATGTTGCAAATGGGTTCAAACGTTTTCTGAAGACACATTTTCAGACTTTTCTTTGTAATTGCGTTTTGCTTCAAGGGCACAACTTCTACTGTGGTGGCGTTGCATGAACATGTTTTCCAGAGATGCTCTCGTGTTTTTGGGGCCTGTGAAGAAATCAGGTTTATAGAAGTTGTCTTAGGGTTAAATGACGACTGGTGGAACTGCCATAAATTCATAAAATGACCACAAAGAATGTAATCTTTGAACTCTCTGTTCATTACAGCCTCTATATGTAACTTATGAAGTCTGGGGCTAAGATGTACAAAATAAATTGTTCTATTCGCCCTACAACATTGTCATTAATGATGGCCAACAGTGTTGCATTCCTGTCAAAGCAAATAAACATACATTGGTTGTCATTATACTGTGGTAGCATTTGTAGTTGTTATCGTCAAAAAAATCCTCCAGTTCTGTTTTAATCATTAACAGCTATGGGGATTGGTTCAGCTATGAAACATTTACAGTATGTGACATCACTTGGTGCCAGAGTAATGCATTTGATATTGCACCATGATAATAACCTCTGTCAGTAAACTTCTCTGATTTAGAGCTACCACCTTCTTTAAATAACTGATTGCTCTTGATGTCATTTGACCCAGGCACATTGCAAATATAGAACACAAGCTATTCATATATTCTAATCATTAACTCCTTACTGGCAGAGATCCTTCCTGTTTATATTTCCCATTAGCTGTGGTTTTGGACCCATTGTGCTCTCCTTAACTGTTCTACAAAGCTTGCTACTCAATTGGTGTTAAGAGTGGGAAAGAAAGACCCCACAGGGTGTGCACTACAGGGGAACCAGGGGGGGCGAGCTTGGTTTATCTTTAATAGACCATGAGGCTACCCTGGAAACATGGATCTGTGAATTTTGGGATTGACCAATATGCTATTTTTGCCATGCTATTTCTATTTTTCTGTATCTTTCTCATCATGGGTCATGCCTAAAATTAGGTTACTATTGATGTATGTTTGTATGTCACTAACCGAAATTTATATGTGTTGACATGAAGCAAGTAGGCCATGTTTGCATATCATGGTATACAGATTATGATAAAAAATGTATGGATGCCTAATTTTTTACCTTTTACCCACATATGGATTTTTGTCAACAAAAATCTGGTTTGGTGTTTAACAAAGAGCCTATTTTCATCATCAGTTCAAAACCTCTATTGAGTGGCCGCCGCAGCCAATGTACAGTGTCAGGTTTGACTTTTAGGTTGGCCACTCTATTGGGTTTCTAACAAAGTAATGAGTATTTTATTTTAGCAATGTGACTTACTCTTGTGTAGGGTTGTGCCGATTGCTTACATCATTTCACACAGCAAACAAACAACTTGGCCGCCTCTTTTTTTCCTTTGGATTTTGTCTAGATTAAATTTTTGAGGTTGTGTTTGTAATTTCTGTAGTCATGCCTGTTTTAATGCTGTATAGTTTTTATACCTGTTAATGTGTGACACACTTTCTGGGCATTAACAAAAACAAGACAGATAAATGGCTTGGAGACATGGAAAGAGTTGTCTTTTCTGGGCAGGAAATGTACTTTAGCACAAGGTGCCAGCCTTAGAGGTGTGGCTAATGATTAAAACAGCCAGTGGAGGACACCTCAGCCCTCATCCTCCAAGGTTTAGGGCACTAAAGCCTCGTCTACTCATAGCGCTCACTGGCATTCTGTCAGGTTTTGTCTTAACTTCTTTTCCAATGGCTCGAGAATTAAAAATCCTCTGTGTCCTTTGGCTGGTTTTAGCCTGTCTTGGTAAGTCGTCCTGATTTTCTACAATAAATTTAAATCCTCAACATGTTTAAATCTTTGTTAGTCGATAGTCTCTGATAAGTGATTACAAGTTCAATGATCAGGTAAATCTTATAATCGAGATAAATATTCCTGTCTTTTGATTTTAGAAGTAAATTTAAATAAGCTTGTATTAATGAATTATAATGAACAACCGTTGTTTTTTCATATATACATGGCTTCCTTGCTTTAAGTTTACATAACAACTTTTTTTTTTAATCTCAGGATTGGTTTAGTGCACAATGGTAAATATTTGACTACTGTGTTGATGCAGACAATCAGACCTTACCTTATGACCCTGTTGCTACCCTACCTTCTTTTGGAAGTCTATTCCAGTCAATTAAATGCCTTTGTTCACCATTCAATCTGGTTAATGCTTTAGATGTTTTAAGCCTAAATGAGCTTTGAGCCAGTTTTATGGGGTAGATGTAGTCTCTTGTATGACCTAATTAGTTTAAAAGCCATTATTCTGTCCTTGTTTTGTATCTAATTGTTATTTCACTTTACTTTTCACTTATTTTCATTTGGGCTTTTTACATCCTGAATATAAATTTGTGACATATTGTTTGGATGTGATTTATAGTGAACAGCTGGACTTTTTTCAGGTTATCAGTGTAAAATTTGGCAGTGCCACCACTAGCTCTTTAAGCTCTATTTCACGTGTCTATGATTAATCCCTTTTTATTTTCAGGTAAAAGAAAAGCACTGCCTATAAACTCATAATTCATGGTGTTGTATCATGAAGCTATATATAATTTATCACTGTACATGATTTGTCCAGGAAATGTTGATTGGCATTGGCTTTTTGTCAAGATGAAGATAAGGTTATGGCTTCTAAATGATAGCACAACAGGAACGAGGGCTAAGGTCTGAGCTTAGTTACTATGTTTTATTTTGTTTTTTTTTTGCTCTTGCGATGTTTAAATGTTATTATTGTGTTAAGTCATTTATTATTTATTGATTGACTGGTGGCTGAGGAGGAGTGCCAAGGCACATTGTATTTCATTGCTGGGTTGGTTCCCTTACGTAAATATGCATTATGACAATAAAACTGAACTGAAGTGAACTGAACTGAACTGAACTTATTGAAAATGAATTTGAAAAACAGTTACTCTGTCGCTTTTTAACTCATTATTATTTCCTCCTGTAACTCAACCACCAGCTACTGAAAGCTCGAGAGGACAAACTACTGCACCTTCTGAACCAACAACTAGTGAAAGCTTGGGAGGAGAAACTACTATTGCACC